GATCTCATAAATGCAACTAGGTATGGTGAATCACAAGTAAAGCACAGTATGTAATGGACAGCTTGAGAGGGGCAGGAATTCAGACAGTCCCCATGGAGTCATCTTTCCTATGGCTACCTGTAAAAACCAGTAAGCTTTCTGAATCATGTTTTGGAGGTGCACACCATTTCCTTCTCTCTGCATAGAATGCTTATAAACAAATATGAACCATTCTCAGGTATCTCTGAAGTCTCTCCATTGCCTCTGTGGGGATGCTAAATGCCTAACCTAGTTATTTGCAAACTTCCCCTGGAGGAGGGTACTCAACATTTTGACACGGTGCTACCAAGGTTTAGGCACATACTCAAAAAATGTGAATTGTGCCCCATGTGTGGATAATATAAAGGTAATGTACTTATATTGTGACCCAATACCATGTGTAGTGTAGGGGTACTCACAAAGATTTGATTCAATAACAAGTTACAGGATAACTTCAACAAAAGCTGTGGGAAGTTAGGAATGATCTCCAATTCTATTCTATTCTAATATTTGATAGAAAGATTAAAAAAAAGGCAACGTGTAAGTATGCAGAATTATCAGTTCCCATGTGTTCAGGTTCAAACTCTTCTCTGCAATCAGGAGAGTTAGAATTTTACCTTAAAAATAGGAAAGTCCCATGCCCCATGTAACCCTGTGACTTTGGGAGAGAAACACCCAATATTGCGAAGCTTCCAATAAAACTGCAGGATCTCACTGCATTGTTCACTGTTCATTAGGGCTAGGCACAGACATTCAAAAAGCCTGAGGCAGAATCGCTCAAACCTAAATGAGTTTCTGTAAGCACCCTAGGTTAGGTCAGGAGTGAATAAAACAGAAGTTTGTCCTTGGAGCAGGGGGAAGAAAGGGGGGGGGGGGCATGCAGGCTGCCCCCATTGGGTAGAAGGGGGGGGGGGGGCATGCAGGCTGCCTCCATTGGCTGAGGCCAGCAGGTTGAGGGCACTTGACCACACCTCCCAGTTTGATATGTGGCCTCCCTGGGCTGCCAGAGATTGCTGACAGCAAGTGCCCCTCTCCCCCTTCCCCATCAGTAGTCAATGACCAGCACCTCCAGTCCAGTCTGCCCTCTGTTACTGTGAGAACTTGTGGGGGGGCATGGGGTCCCTAGGTGGGTGTGCAGGAGCCCTCTCAGGGACCCCCATACTCCCCTATATGCTGGATTCCCGTGCCCCTCCTGAGAGCCAGCACATCACCAGGGAGCTGGACACAGCTGAGTGCTCCTCCCCACCCTCCCCTGTCATCAGTCTGGCACTGTGATGACTCGGCTCTGTGAGAGCTGGAGGCAGGACCAGAGCAGCCAAGCATAGGGTGGGGTTACCGGCAGCCCACAAAGGCACCAGGGATGCAAGCAGACAGTGACATAACTTGATACGTGAACAAACTTGGTACCAAAGTTTGATTTATCAGTCTAACCTAGATAGATTAAGTCTGATACCATGTCGATCCAGGTCTATCTTAGACCAAGATCTGCCATTTTGTGCTCCAAACTGCTGTTCTCTTACAGGTATACACCAGTTTCCAACCACCTAAACCAGAAAAAGTATAATGGTTGTACCTGGCCCAAATTAAAGCTATATTATTCATATCTAATGCTTTATGATATGCCCTAATCATATCTCTTGCCTTACCCATAATGATACAATACAAAGTCACTTAGCTTCTAGCATACTATGAATCTTATAATTCAATGTAAACTACTCTTAGTACTTGAAGTCAGTTCACCATGTTCAAAACAACTTTTTCAGTGAAATCTGATCCTACTTATACAAAAAGACCTTTGAATAGAGATAAAAAGTATTTGTTGGCAAAATAAAAATAAAGGGTGGTGCTCAAAATTATGTCCCCACTACTTATTTCCATCCTGGACCCGAGAAAACATTTCAAGAAAGCAGCAATTTTGACATAAATGTTTTGTTGAAAATATTTCAAGCACCTTTATAATCAGGGATCCTGTTTTTTTCTGATAAAAAAATCCCCAATTTTTAGGTTAAAAAGGTAACCCCAAATCCACATTTTTTCTGTGATTAAAATGAAATGCCACTAATACATAAATATATATATACAGTATTGTTTCACTTTGATCATGGAAAAATGTGGATTTGGGATTCCTTTTTTTAACCCGAAAATTGGGGATTTTTTTTTGTCAGAAGAAAACAGGATCCCTGTTTATAATATCCCATTATTACGGGATATCTATTCCTTCCAGACTGGATTTCCAGAACATACACTGAATGTGACTAACCTCACAGACAATCTAGAAACTTCTGCTTGAACACTGCTAGCAGAAGTTGGTCTGTACTGCTTCTTGTAGAGTGAATATTATATCAGTGTACTCGACAGGCTGCACTAGATTTTAGCTGGTTTCCAAGTGCCGGTGAATACCTTCAACTCTGCAAAGATCTTACATTTTGCCTTCCTTGTTGCAAGGTCTGTCTATTGTGTCAGGTTTCATCTGTGCTGAGAGAAGGATGGGTTTTGTGTGACCTTTTAAAAAAACAATAAGGAGAGTTTTCTTTTGATTCCATTTGATTTTGCTTTCTGAGTCACTTGCGTTCCAACTGTTTCAGTACTGATGAACAGTATACCTAGAGGTGGTGACAAGCACATTTCATGCATCTGAAAAATAAATACATACCTCTAGTTGATTATGAATTTTGAGGTCACTTACTGCATAACTGCTCCTCCCATTCATCTTCATTTCACAGTTCTAGCACCCATTCTAAGTTTACAGTCTCGCACATTACATATAACTCATACCTCACATGTCGATTTAAAGTGTCCAGGACCCTTGGATAACTCAAAACTATGACACTGAGTCAGCTGCAGCCTTTTGGCAATGACCCAGTATTTCCCATATGTTCTACTTAGCATATTCCAGTTCCCACCCACCGTAGCACCTTTCTTAATGACTAGGTTGCCCTGCAGAGACCAATCTTGCAGGGAAGCTAAACTGGAAAAGCATAATAGCGGGCACATCTACATGTGTACTAAATGTGCCATAATTATGTTATATTATTACAGGTACTAAACTTAATGTGTGGTAGTTGGCGCTACTGTGCACTAGCGCCGGCACATATCTTTTAAGTGGCACTATTGTGCAGTAGACTAATTCTCCTGTACATTAGCACAGCTTTCACCATGACACACTAATGCACAGGAGAATTAGTCTACTGTGCTTTTAGCATCTCAGGTAGATGCACCCAGTGATCCTTAGTGCAACTTTACTGAATAGAGAGTAAAAGGTGATGTGCCCTACTTCTGGCTTGTCAGTTTATTTACATACTAAATCACCACTGTTTCCTTATGGGAAATTTCCTTTTCAGTTGATTTAGCCTGTGCTTTGGGACCATGCAACTCTTAAAAAAGGCTACCAGTTAGGTAGACTATACATCTCGGTTTGGCCAGGACAGTCCTAGATTTGGAGGCCAATTCTGGCCATGCAAGTGAAAATTAAAATGAAAATCTGGGGCTTGGGGTGGGTAGGCATGAGCTGTGAAATAGGAAGTCCTAGCAGACAGCAAAACTGCCCTAAAACCATTTCCTTTGATTAGTGGAATGACCATTAAAAAAAGGAGATGACTGTTGCCACAGGCTATAATCAAGAGTTATGGAATCATAAAAAGTACAGACATATATAAGATTATTTTAAATCTATATATGTAGTGCAGTACAGAACAAGGGGTCATTAAATGGCCCCTTAGCTGCCCAAATAGTAATACCATAGCTGCACTGGGCCACCCTGCCCCTGCCTCTGCCTGTAGCAGCATCACTGACTAAAATATTGTATTCACACAATTCTACATCCTGATGCAATCCTTATCAATCCTTATGATGTCAAATGTCAGAATGGGGCTCCCTAAATCTGTTTCTTTGCACTAGATGGTGCTTAACTCTTTTGAAAAAGACATGATACCAGATAGATGAGTCAGTATATGAAAACCTGCTCTGACACTAAATCAACACAGTGCTACTGGAAGCTGTCTCCGTTCTGTATTAAGTAAGAAGGCCTGTTAAAAATGCTCATTAAACAGCAGCATTAAAATGTGAAGATCAAAATTGGTTATTAAAATAAACAAAAAATAACATATCAGCATGAAATATACAAGAGGGACCTTCTGTAAGCTACCTCCCTAGAATGAAATACCCCAAGTCCAATCTGCACACCTGCCAGCTGATCTGCAATTTCATTCTTTGTTTTAAACAGTGCATTTATTTTGGACAGGAAGAGGGAAAAATAGCCCATAAAGTTCCCACTGTTATGAAAAACAGAAACAATTGCTAGAGTTACAAGCTCCTCATGGACTGAGCCAGCACATGAACAGTTCTTATTCTGTGCTACAGTTCAATGCAGCTAACTGGAACATAGAGGCATTTTAGCTAGATCTATAAAATACAACTCTTACAGAAGGTTTGCTTTTTTGGTTTTGGGTTTTTTTTTTTTCCAAAACTGAATGTATGCAGTTATACATGTCATACAATCTGTTTTCAAGCAGACTTATCAATGGCATACTTTGGCTCACAGCTACCAAAGACTGGGGCCACAGACCCTTCACACACTTAAAGAAAATGATAAACATATTGCAGACTTCAAAGTAACCTACCATCTAATTAAGTTGATTTTTTAAATGGCTTAATTGTGCAGTTTAGTTTAATTATGCAATACCACTGCTCATTACATAGGTTTTGCTCAGCTCTATCTAGTTAAGCAAACATGCAAGATCATGAAACCAGTCTCAAAATAAAGGGTCTTTGAGAGCTTTCAATTTGTTGAATTCAGAGCCTGCTAAGTGGCAGTCACGGACTAAAGGCCAATTTTTTTCTTACTGAGCAAAAAGTATTTTGTTTTTCTGAAATTCAGCTAAAACAGGTACAAATTAAAACACAGTAAATTATCAGATTCAGCTCAAACACTCCATTACTGGTATCTCTCCCACACGATGCATATACATATTTTGTTTGCTTACCCATTAACTAAATTCTGTTGTGTCTCCAGTGTCCCTTGTATTTTGATCAAAACAGACTTGGAATAAGAACGCAAAGTCCAACTTAGAATTTTTATAAAAATTTTAAAAAAGAAGCGCTAAAGTCATAATAATGTAATTTTCCTGAAATTATATATCAAATGTCTGAGAAACAGATCAGCTGGAACAGCTGTATCTCCCATGATACCTTTTTTGCCAGAGACTTCTACTGTCATGAATCTGAAGGAAAAAAAAAAGATCTTTTCATTTCATTGCTTCGAAGTGAGCTCAGAGAGTTCAGTATTGCTGAAAGCTTTGTAATAAAGTGACTGTACGGGTATGTGTGGGGGCGGGGAGAAAGGAGGAGGGAGTGAGAATGAGGGAGAGATGCAAACAAACTGTAACTGGATTCCTTGCTTTTTATTTCAATGGGATTGTTTTGAAGAAACACAAGGATTGGTTAAAAAGGGGCATGTCTCCAGAAAAAAAAATCCATCTTCTATACAGCTATACAAACTCATAGCTGGACAGTAACTGTGTAAACTTTCCTTATTAGGAATAGCCAAAGGAATGTTGAAAGCATCTGGTAATATCCCTTAGAGCATGGTAAGACACTGTTGACGTTCTTCTTGACCTTCCATGCTGTTAGTTGTTTTTTTTTAATTATTTTTAAGCTTCCCTGCAAAACCTAAATATTTTATACTTTTTGCTTAAAAAAAACAAAAAAAACCCAAAACGCTGATAAAGTCTCCATTACTCACAATCTATGAGTGCAATGCTGTCATCTACAACACAGGGGTGGAAAGATTAATAAGTCTTATTAAAAACAAACTCTGAGTCACCAATTACATCGATCATGGTTCTGTTCCACATGAGAATTTAACATATCACCACTCTAAATAGCATCCTTGTTTCTCAACTGATACAGTTTTGTACTTCATCAGATTGCTCCCACAACACACAGAAAGGGAAGATTCCAGTTCACAAGGGAAGGAGGAGACTATGTAATAACATGCCTATTTGGTTTGGCACTCTGTGTACTTCTATCCATGGCTAGGCCAAATAGTGGTTGATAAGTCTGATACAGCCTTGGCTGACAGAGCTAGTAAAGGCTTTCTGGATAAGTTTCAGAGGTTCCACATGTGATCCCTCCTACTAACAACCAGTTCATTAGTACTGCTTGTTGATATATATATATATATATATATATGCATCTACACTTTACTGGTATTGAAATAAAGGTTGTTCCTATGTTTCCTAATCAAGTTCAGTACCCCACTCAAACAAAGTGAGTGTGCTGCCTGCCCCTGATCTAATCTGCCACATGCCACACACAGAAGGTGCCTATGCCTCTTGTGGCATGTTTGTCAAAGTCAGCCACCTCTGTGCTAGAGGATGCACCACAGTTACTAAAGCAATAGAGAACATGCACATATGTGAATACCTAGATCTGCTTTCTGTAAGGAAAGTCTAGCACACAACATTATAGATTCAAAACATATTATTATTGTTATTACTATTATTAGTAGTAGTAATAATAATAATAATAGTAATAATAATAACAAACAAACTAGTGCTGGCCATATCTCTTTTTAAGTTTGTTGGAAAATAATACTGGATGGTCACTACACACATCCTGAGTCTTGACAGGAGAGCGGTTTCAGCTTTTCACTATGCCTTCTGAAGCATGAATTCCAGTTCTGCTTGGACATATACCAAAAACTGCCCCAAGACAACCCAGATGTCAACAGGTACCTGATCATTTGGCTGTGTGTCAAGGGTGCCTGAACTGTGCTGACCACTTCACTTTCTCCTGTGCTGTTGGCCACAGAAACTACACTAGCCCAATGGGTTGTTAGCTCAGAAGGACCCCTGAATATGTTGATTCTGCTAGGAGACAGAGAAAAATGAGAACACAGAACCCTCATGGAAAACTTTTGAAGTGGTTCACTGGTACAAAAACACATGAGCACTTTTGCATGCATATTTCCAAACTGAGCCTTTTAAGTCAACCCCGCTGAACGAAAGGGCAAGTGGTTAGGCTGGTCCTTTCCACAAAGTGCTGAAAAAAGGAGAATCTTAGTCTTGATGCCTAAACCCAAGACACAAACATAAATAATCTTAAGGGCAGACTGAAAACCTATTTTTAGATAAAACAAGCTTTCTGATTTTCTCCTCTGGTTCCCCCTTCTACAGTTTGGTTTTGTTGTTATGCCTGCCAAGTGCTTCCTGATCTTTTTTAACATTTCTATTAGCAAAGTAACTCTACTTCATATTTTTCATACCCTTCATATTCTAATTAAAATACGTGTTCATCAGCAGAAAGACCTATATGAACCTCTTCATGTTTTTCTTTCCATTCTGGATTTAGTACGGAAAAAGATTAGTGAAAAGAAGAAATCATCAGCATGGATTTTAATAGATTGTGTTAGTCTCTTGCTAAAAATAGGCATATATAGGGAACTGAAAAGCTTTGGTTACAATGGCCTTATAAAATCAACAGTGATTTGGAATAACAAAAAGTTTGTGTCCTGCAGTACACACAATACAATGCCACAGCAAGGTTTCAAAACTTTTGTCCATGCCTAATTACATCAAGAGCTTATAATAATTCAGAACAACTCAAAATTGCTATTAATAAATAGACTAAAATCTAATGGTTTTGGAGAGTATTAAGTATATATTTCTCATCAGAATCATAACCTTTATTATTCTAGAGGACATTAACTTATTTTATACCACTGAGATGTATAAGTGAATATCTTATAATGTTATAATATATTCTATGTACAGTAAACCCAGTAATAAAGTCTGCATTTTAAAGTATGTTATTTGTAGTATATAAACTACTACCACTTTAGTTACACCATGTCTTTAGTGAGCTGTGAATACATTTTAGCTACACTGACAGCCCCTTTTATGGAAGTTCCAGGCACACGATTCCATGCATATGGCTTGCATTCTGTGGTCGTTTGCCCAAGTAATTTATAGCATGCCTAAGTGTGATTAATATTATAACATACATAGCAATTTTGGTTTATAAATGTAGTTTCTGCAAAATAAAATATCAGGCTGAATTTTCTGTCAGTGTATATTGGCATACCCTTATTATCTTCAATTGGTCTATGACACTTCATCCTAGCTAATGACCTGATCATTTTTTCCAGAACCAGAGAATCCCAAGCTTGAAATTAATATAAAATAAAGATCCAAAAGCCTTTACTGAAACTTGAAAAATTCAGCAACAGCATCCCATTCTACAAATGGAACAGAACAATGAACCTCAGATACCAGAACTGATTTCTAAGACTAGGGA